CATCTGCCATGCATACTCTTCCCCCTGCCATTTCGCCAACCGGAGTTCTGCCCATCCCTTATTGATTATCCTATCTCCTCCCCCTATCCACCACCCAAACGTCAGACCTTCCTCTCGCTCCTCTACATCTTGCCCTCCACCCAGTGCCAACCACAAAATATAAGAGTCAGGACAGGCAACAGGGAGGGAGCAGGGGGAAACCCTAGGTCAAAGAGGGACGCCGACAGGTGATATTTGCGCAGAAGTGAAACAATCAAAACACATGCCAAACCCATCGAACCCACCCCTCCCCGCGGTCAACTTCCTGAGCCATCCCCATGATTGTACCACGCCGCAGCTCATTAGTATCAACTTCAGGGGAGGAATGGTATACTCCTGCGCAATCAAAAACATGATTGTCGTCATCGTCATAGTACGGTAAATCATTACACATGATGTGATTGCCCGCATCGGACTGCTGGGTAGATGACGAATCAGTTGTAAAAAAATATTTCAGAACAAGCGGGGGAACCGCATCACCTACCTCCACCAAAGTGCCGTTGTCAAACAATGATGACGATGCCTTTTGATCTTCGGCGGGCTGTTGATAAGACTGTGAAATGAATGTCAACAAAACCTACGGAGCAAGCACCCGGATCGCCGCTCCCACATCCGGCAAATCTCCATTATTCACTACAACAGACTGAGACTGACAGCCAAACGATGCTGACACCATGTGATCGTCACCCAATTCAACACACGCCTGAGCAAATGGCCACTGTTTCTGAACACAAAGTGTAATAAGTGGTGACGTCGCTGCTGTAGATGTTGTAATTGTCACTATTGCTCTTGTTGCCGCTGTTGATGTTGTTAATGTTGTTGATGTTGTTGATGTTCTTAATGTTGTTGATGCTGTCCATGTCATGCTATCCTGGCCTTCAGATGCTGATGGACCGCCCACGTCTCTTCTTGCTAGAAGCCTGGCAAACATGTCTTTCACCTGCGTCAGCATCCCAGCACACTCGTGTAGGGCAGTCATCGCCTGTGCTCTATCATTCACATCCGACTGTCGAAGAGAGATCTGCTCATACAGTTCCTCCTCCCACCCATCGTAGATCGCCTCTCCCCCCAACAAGATGTCATCCGGTAGGTTGCCATATTCTTGACTCAACAACGCGTGCATCTCCTCCAGCTGCTGTTTGTACAAGGTCACAATGAACAGCGCAGAATCTGCCTGCATGGGCTGCAGGGTAGGAGGGGTTTCCCACAGTCCCCCATCAGACATGGTCTCCGTGTCCATCTCTGCCGTCGTTGTTGATGTCGGAAGCTAAAACTGCTGCGCCGCAATCACGTTTTTTCAACAAATTCCAGCTGGCGCTGCCCCTGTCCGCGCGTCGCAGGACACCCACGTCACCAACTGCAGCTGCCACGTGGCAAACGGGACGCCACGCGCGGCTGCCGGGCGCGCGCACAGGCCTATCGGCCGAGGAGCTCCCTCCCTCAGGCACTAGTCTAGCCGGCAGACCGGGCCTTGCCGGTCAGGCGGCGTCGGGGCGCTAGCGCTAGCGCAGCCTCCTTGCGCAATATGTTCTAAATGACAGGCAAATGCAACGGAGGCAGTCCTAGTGCGAAATATATCCTTCGACAGCACAACAGACACCCCAGCAAACAGCAAAGGTGATTAAGAATTTCCTCCAAAAGCGTCCGTCTGTCTTTCAGTACGGTGTAGAAACCTCTTCCGGAGCATAGTACATAATGGCGAAAGCACAAGGCAAATTTTGAAAACATCAACATCAGTCAGAGAGTACACAAAAACTTAGGGCTCCTTCATGGCAAACTGAGTTGCAACCATGCCAGGCAGGTCCCATTGGCTGGGCAGTTGACATGGCGCATCATGATGTGTAAAGGATGTAACGACGATGTCCATCAAGTTGTAGACCACACCAGCAAATTTCAAGGTTTTTTTTTGTCCTATAAAAAACAGAATTAGACCGGTTGATCCAAAAAGAGCAGGAGCAAGGGAGGACTCGCGTACCTGAACAACAGACCATCCCTGTGCCTGAAGCACACGTGCCTTAAGCCGTGTAGGCCCCATCTGCCAATTCCTCATGTTTGCCGCAAAATGAGTCGGCCCGTCTGCCTCGATGATGACGCGGTTGCTTGGGAGTGCCATGTCCGTTTTGTAGCCTCCAACCTCGTATTCAGTTACGGGCTCAAGACCCATGTCATCAAGCACCTCAGCAATCGATCTCTGAAAATTGCTGGTCAGCAAGTTTTCCTTCTTGTTCATGTCCTCCCAGCAGCCCTGCACGCACACCACACAACCCACACCCACCCGCTTCATGTATGAGTGCTTGTATGGCACTTGTAAAGAGCCTAAAAACACTCGTTGGCATCGGGACTGCTAAAGGAGCTAAAGACACCGATTTTGCTACAACTACGATGATGACGCGGTTGCTTGGGAGTGCCATGTCCGTTTTGTAGCCTCCAACCTCGTATGCAGTTACAGGCTCAAGTCCCATGTCATCAAGCACCTCAGCAATCGATCTCTGAAAATTGCTGGTCAGCAAGTTTTCCTTCTTATTCATGTCCTCCCAGCAGCCCTGCACGCACACCACCCATCCCACATGGCACTTGTCAAGTGCCTAAAAACATTCATTGGCATCGGGATTGCTGAAGGAGCTAAAGAAGGATTGCTGAGATCCTCCCAGCAGCCCATGACCTCCCCACCACCTCCCCACCGAGCCGGCCGAAGCACCTCCCCACCACCTCCCCACCGAGCCGGCCGAAGCACCTCCCCACCACCTCCCCACCG